GGGGGGGGGGGAGGGGAGAGATCTATTATAGAGTGGACCCCTAAAAGTGACCTGTATTGAGAGATGACAATAACCTGTCATTCTGGATTTCGATATTAAACCCCGCCTACTGTGATAGGTTTTTTATGACGACCCTGTTTATATGAGATAGGGTGCCATTGTGATAGGTTTTTTATGACGACCCTGTTTATATGAGGGTGCCATTAGCTAGTAGAGTCAAACTCTTTTGTTTTCTTCTCCCTGGAGGGTGAACAATATAGTTTGGTTCTACCACCTACTATGTAAATGAGGCCGTACTAGCATTGTTCACCTTATGCAGCCGTCTTAGGCCCGTCTTATGTCCTAAACGTGACCTCAAAACTTGGCTAGTGGAAATTATCGTCATCATCACTCTATGCAGGACAAAAATACTTATTTCGAGCTCAAAGGGACGGCGAGGACAGTCCCCTCCCCAGTGCAAATTCCTATCCATGCATTCCTTATGCCTCCAATAGTCCTTACTTTACAATGAGGATGTTGTATTTTTGATATAGAAAAAGAAAATTGTATTTGGTGTTTTGTACCACCTAGATACATTGACATTGTCCAGATAATTGCAATTATAACTCCGATATAACTCCGATGAGTCGCTTTAAAAAAGAATTTGACAAGGCAAATAGGAATTTAACATTGACTTGCGTTCCACTAACAACATTGGTACTCCCCTACCCAATAGACTCAAAAAACATCTCCAGGGGGGGGGGTGAACGCTGCGGTGAGGAATGTTGGTAGAGACAGTGAAACTAATGGCTGAAAGGCATTTTTATTGTGGATTTTACGACCAAACGTGCAAAAAAAAATAAATAAAAGATCACTCAGAAGTACAATATATTTGCATATCAATTATTCGTAACTGTTTTTAGGCTTGTCACAACGTTACAGTGTTATGGCGTTATTGATGAGCGCTAATTTCTCATCTGGCCACATTGCATTTCCACATCAATCAAGAGTTTTCAAAGTCACAAAGTCAATCAATTTGATTCAAGGAAAGTCATCCTGCTTGTTTCACTCTCACGTTGGCTTTACACCAGGTTAAATGGAATCGAATTACAAAAGATATCGTTTTTTGCCTGGTCTTTGAGCTCCGTTTTAAGGATTACCTTTCCCCTGGGAAACTTTGCCTCAACCTCTAGTACCATCGAAAGCTCCACTGTTTCTCCGCTCTTCAAAGGGCACGATAACCCGTGGCCACTGCATGCATTAGGGTTAGGGATATCTATAGGTATAGTAATACCAGAAACCGTCGCATGCATATAGATTGTAGCTTGGGTGACTTCCTCGAGTGGTATCATTGTGGCGGTTGATGTCACGTTGGTTCCTCGTTTGAGAGAGCATGGGTCGTCACTTGTACATTGATCTACATCCACAGAAACTAGTTTTCCAACTTTTGAGCCACAGTCCGTGAATTTTAGCTTCATGGCCTGAATCGAGGTAACAGTGGCGATAATTACGACCAAAGCAAGCCTGATAGCTGGCTTCATCTTGAAGAATATATAGACTTCTGACAACTGTATACTGCTAAGTGTCGATACCTGAATAGCAACTTCCTGCAGTGCTTTGCTATATATGTACTGGACACTGTCAGGTGACATCATCCCGAGGTGTACTCGTTAGCCACGTGAAAAAAGTCACAAAAGGACCAGACAAAGTTTCTCCTCTACAAATGAAGATAAAAAGTCGTTTGTCATGGTTTGTCATTTAATATAAGTTATTTTATGCAACCTAAATTTAAAATATGTATTGTTCATTGTAATACTTTCTTTTTCTTAGAATATTCCATGTTACTATTAGATAGACTTTCTACTTTAGACCTCGAATCTTTGTACCAGTTGTACCAATTCCAATGTATGGTACTCACCTTACGTCTGTCTAGAGATTTCTTTACAAGTGAGTCGATGAAGGTCGTGACGTCGTGTCGATAGTGAAGTTAATCAATCCACGCAAATCAGATGTCGCAGATTAACTTGAAGCAGTTTGTTATTCGACGATAGTGTCATGGTCGTATGTTTTAAAAAAAAGTGGTCATTGAAAGCAATCATTATTACCAGGACGCGGTCCAGTAGCACTTCTTGCATTCGTGTGTTTTATTGCCTATACATTTGTTATAGCCGGCGATTTGTTAATTTTATTTCGTTTCTGTAAATAAACAATGCAGGAGAAAATCATTTGTACTATTGGGTTTCCTGTGTATAAAATACGCAGCAGAGGACTGGATAAGTCAATATTGAGTATTCTGCTCAGGTTGTTGTATACTGAATATTTAAGTGTAACACTTAAATCCATCCGAGTGTTGACATTCGTTTTATTCGTATATTATAGTCGCACAAGATAAATTCATTGCCAAAAATATCAAAGTATTGCCATGGATACCTCAGAATGACGTCCTCGGTCACGTGAACATCAAATTAAATGACGATTAATTAGTGTTTAAGTCTTTTGGTGCTTTTAATTTTGATAGAATCAATGAATGATGCTATAAAAAAATCTAAATATTGTATTACAAAAAAAGACCACTACCGTGCTGTGACTCGAACCCATGACAAAAAGTTCGAAAAAGGTTGGGACGATTCCCCCGAGACATTCTGTCAAGCTGAGGCGTCGAATCGACTTACATTCCGGTTAGAGATTTCGGCTCTTCCATGCTATCCCGATAATTGATCCTAACTTCGCGCTAACTAAAAAGCCAGTGAGGGAGAAGCTATCCGGCCCCTAGACACTGATGGACAACCCCTTGCACTAACTAGGCAACTATCGAAAATATAATGTTAAATTGGGGTAGTCTATTCGGCGAAAGTGTCAAGTGGTCTATTATTATGTAAATGAGTGTGTTCCAGTGGCGCAACTCGTTAAGGCGCTCACGTTCAATCCAAAGGACCCGGGGATCGAATTCAGTTCCAAGCATGTATGTATTTCATTTTTATCATTTTTTCAAACAAAAAGTATTTAAATTTATTTATTGTTTTCTTCTCATTATTTTTGTATCCGTATAATTGCTTTAATAGTTTGTTTTTTTAATATTTTTTATATACTTATTTATTTTCTTCTTTTTTGGAAAATTATACTATGGGCTCACTGTGTCTTCCAAACTGTCTGAAGAGTCTAGGACCGAGCAATAAACCCTGTAATTGGACCGGGCCGCCCCTTTATCTTTCTCTTCAAATCCACCAAGGTAAGATGGCGGCCATGATTTCCTATTCTCCACGTGTTTCGCCTTAAATTGACCAGTATTCATTCTAACTTGATAATTTATCGCTAAAAGATGCTTATTTTGAATCTTAGATGCCTGGAGGAGTTACGGTAAAGGACGTAAACTCGCACGCTTTCGTAAAGGCTCTTGGAGCCTTCCTTAAAAGGTATGTTTGAAACACTGTTTTGTGGTAATGCTGACGGTATTCATCTGTTGATCGGGAAAAATTCTTTCAAGAAAAACAGACTGGAGTAATTTTTAGCCATAACTTATTTTGATTCATTAGTTTTCTTTTTGTTAGTGCATGAATTTGATCGTTACAACACAATTTCGAGCAAATGTCATTCCTGTAAACTTGAGTTTAGAGACTTCATAAGCTTAAGTAACTTAAAGCTTACCATACAAGAGTTTTTAATATGCAAGTGGTTTTGTATATTTCATTATTGATGTATGTATGAATAGTTTTGAAAACGTATATCATAAACTTTTTAACTCTCATTTTGTAATATTTAGAACTCAACAAGAAAACCTGTCCAATTTATATTATAACACAAGACAAATAATAATAAAGATTAATAGTTCTGACTGCACACACTACGAATTTCTTGAGCCAATTGTACATAGGTTGAATATTGCTATCCTCTTTATCCAGCAAATGTATTCAAAACAAACAAACAAACAAAATTAAGGGGTATATATACGTGCGCCTTTGTCTGGTATGCAGTGATAATGTAGACTTCGCTGTGGATATGCTAGTATGTCATGTGTATAATTTGATGATGTAGGATACTATTTTATTCACAGCTAGTATGTTTATTTTGTATAAAACACTAATAAATGGTTTATCATTCAGATCTGGAAATCTAAAAGTCCCTGATTGGGTTGACCTTGTAAAAACTGGAAAGCACAAGGAACTTGCCCCATATGATCCTGACTGGTATTACATTAGAGCTGGTAAGAATCGCTTGTTTTAGCCCTAACTAAAATGTATTATGTAGCATATGCAATATATTATTGCTGAATTATCAAAAATGCAATTGGTTAATTATACATGCATCAGTACTTTCAGAGAACAATGCGTCCGCCATCTTGAAAAGTGATACCGGAATCACTATGTTGTGCCTTAGAACACATTTCGTAGTTGCTAAGTCAACTAATCTATCATTATATCGTATAATAATAACTTTATATTAGCTGAGAAGTTTTTAAATCCTCTAGGAGTTATAATTTAGTGATTCGAAAAGTGGGACGGTCCCACTTTTCAGGATGGCGGATGCATTGTTCTCTGAAAGTACTGATGCATGTATTTATTTTTAATGAATAAGTAATCATTATAAAATGAATGTTATGATAATTCAATGCAATTACTACATTGTTGAAGCTTTTTAGAAATAGACTTCTACTTTGCTGTTGGCATTCCTTTCTAAAACTGCCCCATTGCATTGCATTTTAAAATCTTTTTAAGCATTTTTTTTTTGATTAAATAATTAGGTATGTGAAGCATTGTAATCAACAATTATCCCATCTTTAAACTATCTCTATTTTTGTTTTTCAGCATCAGTCCTCAGACATGTTTATCTTCGAGGTGGTGTCGGTGTAGGTGCTCTTACTAAAGTATACGGAGGTGTGTCTGGCTTTGAGTAGTGGTTTTATGATAATGATGTACATATATATATATTGGTTTAATATACAGCCTTTTGCAAAAATTATGAGAATTGTTGAAATATATAAATATCATAATATCAAGTGCATGATCCCGCGCGATGCCCTTAGTCCTTTGTCTTTGTAGT